GGCGCCGAGCCCTGGCAGGGAGCGGGCACCTGTGCGGGCCGCCAGCGGGCGTGCCGACCGGGCAGCCGTCCCGAAGAGCCACTGCGTTCGCTCCACAAGCCCACGCAGCGTTTCTGGACACGGTGGGTACACGTGGGGCCCCCTACGCTCGCCTGCGCCCCGTCGTCCAGTGAGACGTGACGCGCGCCGTGGGTGGCCAGTGACTCCCGCATCAGCGCAACGGGTGTTCTCTAGCTAGAACCAAACGGGCTTTCGGCCCGCCCGCAGCCTCCAGTCTTGCTCCGACGTAGGCCTCCCCGCGAACGCAGCTGGGGCCACCAGGGAGCAGCAGGGGTCACTGCGTGCAGCCCCTGGTGGCGTGAGTGGGGCTGTGCCTGGGAAAGTGGGTGCGGGGGGGGGCCGCATTACTGTGAACCACCGGGAGCCCCGACTGGCTGCATGCAGGGAGCCTGAGGCGTCGGCACCCTGGGCCGGGGTGGACACGCACCTGGCGTGTCGCTGCAGGGGCACAGGCGTGCGTCTGAGCCCATCGGGCAGCGCTGCAGCCCAAGGGGGTGAGGGGACGGACGTACGCGTGGGCTGTGCTCAGGAGCTGGGGCCCATTTGCAGAAGTGAGGGGCGCTGCGTGGCCAGGAGGCTGCTGCCCAGAAGTCGAGGGCTGCCCAGGAAGGCCACGCCAGCACCAGCCCGGCCTCAGCTCCGGGGGGTGTTTTTGACAAGTGTCCTTTCAACAGCCTCAAATCCCACTGCCCCAGGAGCCTTTTGCTTGCGAGGGACAGAAACCCCAAAGGCTTCGGCTAAGAGTAAGGATGGGCGAGGCCAGCAGCACCTTCAGGAGCCGTCCTCAGAAAGGCCTTTCTGCCTCTGCCTCTGCTGCGCTCGCCTCTCCCCGCGGCGTGTCAGACCTGGGGGCAGAGCGGGAGAGGAGGGTTAAGCCGGCCCACAGTAGACAAGACCTCGCGTTCAGGACGGCTGGGCAAGCACTGTTGGCCCGGTGCAGGTCGGACGGCTCCGGGGCTGGCTGGGGCTGGTGCAGGTGCCCGCGGCTGCCCCCAGGAAGGCAGGGTGGAGGGCCGGGGGTCCTGAGCAGACGCGCCAGGGGAGCCCAGCGGGGCCGCACCAGCACCCCGCCTGCACGGGCTCAGCTCTGTCCCTTGCCATCTTGCCCAGGCAGGTGGGCAGCGAGTGTGGGAGAGGGCCGGCTGCCTGCCCCAGGTGGCAGGGGGAGCGTGGACAGTCGGGTTCACATCTGTCCAGCAGCCCGCGATGCCAGTCCCAAAGAAGCAGAGGTGGCCCAGAGCGGGAGAAGGCGCGGGCGTCCCCTCTCCTGTTGCCGCCCAGGGGCCCCGCCAGACAACCATCACCACCCTTCTCACGCACTGTGTGAGCAGTGGCACGGGGTTGTGGCCCCGGGGCCGCCAGCCGATGCTCCCAGAGGCAAGTGGGCAGGCAGGGGCTGCCTGGGCAAGGGGCTGGGAGGGGCCTCCTGCAGGGCTGGGCAGCGCTGTCCTCCGACTCCAACCCTAACCTGGACTCTCCATCGCTGGGGAGAAACCTCGGAACACACCCAAGTCCCTGCCCTGGGGTGGAAGCAAAGGTCAGAGCCCTTGCCTGGGAAGGGGGAGCTCTCCTCTCCCCGTGGCCCCCAATCCCTCTCTGGGCCTCCAGGCGAAGGTGCCCATGTGGCCTCGCTGCATTAATACTTGGTGGATGGACTGTGGCGTGACATCCCTACCTGGCCCTGCCTGTGGTGAACGCAGACCGGGCTGGGTAGTTACTACAGCAGCTTCCACTCTCGTGTATCTTTTACTTATTCATTAAGTGAATAATGTAATAGTTTATTTTTCCATCATTTTGTGCCTTTTCCCATCTCAGTTGTCATCCCCGTGGGTTTCCCATCACCAGATCACCCGTGTGCCATCACCATAGTCCAGTGCATTTCCCTCCTTCCCCCCATTTTTGACCCCATCCCCCACTCCACCCCTATCAAATGTCTCTGGTATATGGCTGTTCATTATTATTATTGTCTCGCCTGGTTCTTTGTAGCCTAAGAGTGAAACCATCCGGTATTTTTCCTTTTCTTTCTGGCTTATTTCACTAAGCATGATCCTTTCCAGCTCCATCCACGTTGCTGCAAGATGTATGTGTTTATTTATTTTTGGTTGCTGAGTAATATTCCATTGTGTATATGGACCACATCTTTTTAATCCAGTCATCCACTTTTGGGCATTTGGGTTGTTTCCAATAGTAAATAAAGCAGCAATAAACATGGGGTGCAGGTATCTTTTTGAATCAGTGTTTTTGTATCCTTCGGGTAGATACCTGGGAGTGGGATTGCTGGGTCATATCTTTTTTTTTATTTTTAAAGATTTATTTATGTGCACAAGAACTGGGGTACCCGCCAGAGGTGTGGGGGTGGTGAGAGATACACCAGAAACAGGGTGGGGAGCAGAACAGGCAGATCCACTGAAACCCACTGCTGGGGGGAGCAGTGGGTCTGCTGTGCCCTGTGGGTCACTCCCTGACCAGCCTCATAGTGCTGTGCTTCAATCCTGGCACCACCTGGGAGGGCCCCACTCTGGCTATATCCTTGCATCACTCCCAAGCCCCACTAGGGAGGCCCTGTTGTTACTTCTGTGTTGCCCACAAGGAAAGTTAAGGCCCAGGCCCCGGCAGACCCTGTGCGCCCTATCAAGAGTGCCACTTCCCACTCCTGGGCCACCTCCCCAGGGTAGCTGGGCCTTGGGAGACACAGATGGGCTCTGCTCACTTGGCCTTTGGGCCCCCAGGAGGTGTATTTTTCTAATTCTTACAAAGTCTCCATGGGGAGGCAGCAGGGCTATGAGAACCCTGCTGGCCTGCCTCTCCCCGAGAGCCCCTTAAGTCACAAGCTGCCTTGCACTTCGACCCAGTGGATTTCCATGACAAAATTTGCTATTCCCAGAACTCAAGGCGCATTTCCTGCCTCCCAGCGCTTGTCTGGAACACCCTTTCTTCCTAGCCGCTCCCCCATTTGGAGTTCATAAAACTGACCTTTCCTTCAAAACCCAGCCGGAGCCCACTCCTTCCACCCGCCCCTCTCAACTGCTGCGCCCCAGTCCCAGGTCGCCCCGGGTGCCCCACGCTCTCTCCAGGGGCCCTCACTTCACGCATGCCCCTCCCGCGGAGGAAGAAGCTGAGGCTGGCCGGCAGTCCAGACTCCACCGGGTCTACACAGCTGGAAGCAGAGGCGCCGCACCTGCATTTGGGGGTCCTCATTTGAAAGCGCTCCCCATCAGGGTTGCTTTTGCCAGAGAGGTCGCGATCGGGTCTGCGCTGTGGGCAAAGCGGGGCCGACGCCAGGGGGCGGCCTCG